GTGGACTCCTCCCTGGGCCAGCCTCCTCTGGGCCCCCCAGCCAGAGCTGGGGGTGGGCAGCAGGGCTGGGGGCTCGGGTTCATCCGCGGGGCCTCCCGGAGCTGCAGGGCTGCAGGGACAGCCCCGTGAGGGGGGCTGTGGACACAGGCAGTGCAGCTGGCCCTCCGGCTACACCATCCCCCACCCCACCCCCCCCCGTTCTCTGAGCAGGTGGAAGACGCCGTGCTGGACACCTATGACCTGGTGTACGAGCAGGCAGTTCGGAGCCCGTCCAGTGTCTGGCGGCAGGAGCTGGCGGCCATCCAGGACACGGTGAGCGTGGTGGGCGCGGGGAGGGCTGGTCAGCCTCCCAGCATGCATGCAATTCCATGATCCAGAGGAAGGACACAGGACGGCCGTCCACACCCCACAGGCCCAGGGCCACATGCTGAGCAGGGTCCCGGGATGCAGGCCCCACTATGGGATGAAGTGCCCACATCCTCCCTCGGCGCGGGGCAGGGCTGGCTACAGAATGTGCGGGGCCCGGTGCAAAATGAAATGGGGGTGCTATTAGTTCAAAACCCACGAAGAACTTCCAGATGGTGACAGCAGAGATGAAACAAGCACAGGGCTGTCGGTGCACGGGGCCCTGTACGACCGTGCTGGTCACTTGCCCGGAGAGATAGTCGTCCAGGCGGTCAGCACAGTGTTAATGAGAACCTACAATGCGAGAAGGCCCTTGGGTGGTGCAAACGGTTAAGCACTCGGCTACTAACGGAGAGGCTGGCAGTTCAAACCCACCAGAGGTGTCTTGGAAGAAAGGCCTGGCAATCTGCTTCCAAAAAGTGACAGTCTTGAAAGCCTGTGGAGCGCAGTTCTACTCTGGCACACACGGGGTTGCTCGGAGACAAAGATGACTCAATGTCAATTTTTTTTTTACTATGTGAGTGGCGCCGTCGTGGGGTGAGGGGCCGGCTTATTCCCCCTCTTTCTACAGGGAAGGCCCTGGGCAGGCAGGCAGGGGCGGGGGACACACTTCTCTCCTTCCCAGACCTCAGCCTACCCAGGGCTGGGCGGCCAGCAGAGGCAGCTGAGCCTCCCTTGAGCCCAGACTGGGCCTCTGGTAGGGACCCAGCTCTGCGGGACCCCGCCTGGGTCCCTATTCCTTCCTGTGCCTCAGCTTCTCACCCATCCAGCGGGGATACTAAAGCTGTGTTGCCCACCTCCTGGGGTTCTGGGGCCCAAGCCTGCCTGTCCGATCTTGCAGTTCCAATGCTGTGGGAAGTGGTCTCCTTTCGGCCTGCTGGGGGATGCGGAAGCAGGGCTGTGTCCAGGGGAGCTGGCCAGGAGAGAGGTGAGGAGGGCTGCACGCGCGTCGGGCCCCAGTGGGGTTGCGGCTGGGCACCATGGAGCTCCACCCCAGACCCAGGGACATGCCCCCAGAGGCTCCCGGGGAAAGTCCCGGTGTGGTCCAGAGGGAGAGGCTGTTGTGCGTGAAGCCCGTCGGGGGCTGGGCTGGGGTCGACAGCTGACGACAGGTCCCTTCTGCATTCACTCATTCGTTCACACAACTCCAGCTCGGGCCTCCCCAGGCCAGGCACGGCGACCCTGCGACCCTGCCGCTGTTAAGCCACCGACCCCACCCTCGGAAGCCTCTAGCAGCACAGGGGGCAGGAGGGAGACAGACGGGGTGTGATGGCACCCACATCCCAAGAGCAGGGGCACCCTGCGCTGCCTGGGGGAGGGCGCAGGCATCCGAGGGCTGTGGTCTTGGAGTCCCGCTGCGAAGGGACGGAGAGAGGAGGCTGGAGGGTCAGTGAGGGCAGAGGTGCTCCAAAGGCAGGGAACACCTTCCTAAGACTGCTGGGCTGGGTCCCCCCACCTCTGCTGCTCCCCTTCCCTGCACTCTCCCACCCACCCGCCTGGCCGGCCGTGGGCTTCCGCTCCCCTGTTGTCCTGGAAACAAACCGCCTGGTCTCTTGGCAAAAGGCCCCTGGCGTCCCTCCAAGAATAGACTGGAGGGTCGGACACAGCTTGCCGGGCTGGGGACGAGCCAGCCTAGCACCCAGCTCTGCAGACAGCACGGGTGGCGTGACAGGGAGGGCCAGTGCTGGGAGGGGCCAGGGAGCCTGCTCTATGCCCCCCAGGGGAGTCCTCCGGTCACAGGGGGTGAATGCCTGCTTCGTCCACCCCCGGGATGGAAGGGGGGTGGTGGGACACAGGAGGGTGGCATGGATGCTGGGCTGCACTAGAGGTGGGCAGGGTGAGGCAGGGGGTGGACTTCAGCTGGAGGTGTGTCCAGCCCCAACGTCCGTCCGTCCCTGGCATGCCTCCCAAGAGGAAGCGTGACATTCGCCCAAGTGGAAGGAGAGGGGGCTGATCAGCGACTGTTTTCCCACGGGGCCCCCAGGCCAGCCCAGCTGGGCGCTGCCCAAAGCCCCAAAAGTGACCAGCACAAACTCCCACCTTGGACAAACCTGAGTGGCTGGGGCCCTGGGGGCCAGGAGCCCACACCTCCAGGGAGGCGGCCATGGGTCCCGCACCCCATGTGTGAGCCCTGGCTTGGTGGAGGCTGCAGAGAGGCTCGAGGGCTTGAGGACAGATGGAGAGGCGCACAGGCACCGGGCCAGCCTCCTGCCCTCCCCAGCGCACCCTCAGAGCCAGGCCCGAGTCTCCCCTCCACAAGGCTGGAGTGCTTCCCACCCTGCTCCCAGAGGCCCATGTCCTCCCTGAAAGCAAAGACCACCGCCCACTTTGGGTCAGACACAAGCTGTGCGGATGCCGGGTCCTGGGCCGCACTGGAAGCCAGAAGGGATCCAGGACACTGGCCCGTCTACCCGTGGTCTCCACGGCTGCCACTTTCTTGCCAGGGCTACTGTGTGCCAACCCTGGCTGGGTGCTGGGAGCTGGAGTGAGCTAGACCCACCTTGCCCAGGAGCCAGACATGGGGCCCACCATGGACACCTCAGGGTGACCGTCGAGCTGGGAGCTGGGCCTAGGGCCAGTGCTGTCACTAGGGAGGTGTGGGGGGTGCAAACCACACTGGGTGACACTGTTAGAAGGGGTGACGCCAAAATGACCGTCCATAAAATCCGTGCGCAGTGTCTCAGCAGAAATTTATTATTTTTTGTCAAAATATCCCCGTAGTTATAACAACAAAAACATTTTTCAGAAGCCCAGCTCACATGTATCAATCCATCCACAAGACCAAAACGCTATGCTAATTTACTTTTTGAACCTTCTAATGTGCTCCAGGAAACCCTGGTGGCGCAGTGGTTAAGAGCTCGGCTGCTAACCAAAAGGTCGGCCGTTTGAATCCACCAGGCGCTCCTTGGAAACCCTATGGGGCAGTCCTACTCTGTCCTATAGGGTCGCTATGAGTCAGAATTGACTCGACAGCAACGGGGTTGATTTGGTTTAACGTGCTCAGGTCACAGCTGTCAGCATTACCCAATGACAACGACACTTCGAATCACACAGTTCCGTCTGTAGGCGCTCCAAGCATGCACTGTGGCTTTCGCTGCTGCCACTGTTCTTACAGTCGCTGATTTTGTCAGATTTTCCACTGTTTTAGCTACAACATTGTGGTAATTTGTATTTGTGAACCTATATCAATAACTGTTTTGAGAATGAAGTAGCAATTAAAGGAAAAGAAGGAGTGATATACAGAACTACAATTCACGAGTAATATTAGGACAGAAAGCATTACTAAGGACTCTGTATGGTCTGGAACGGGAGCGGGTCCATGGGGGGGTGACACCGTGAGTTACCACACTGGGTGACACCTAGTGACCCCACTGCCCGAGGCACCTGTTTGTGATGCTTTTTCCCCTGAGCTCCAGGGTGCTTTTCCCGGGACTGTCCCACGCTCCGTCTTCCCGTCACCCCAGCATTCAGCGTGGGTGGGCGCGCCCTGGGCAGGGAGGGGCTGGTCAGGCCGCCATGCACGCCCCCTCTTCCCAGGACTGCCTGCAGGGCGTCAGGAGCTTCCTGAAGACACACCTCAGCATTGTCACCGCCCTGGTTGGCCTCGGGCTCGCCTTCACGGTACCCG